TTGTGAACAATTATGGCAAGTATTTACAAAATCCCTTCATAGATAAGAAAGTTATGGACCGGACACGACATATACCTCAAATAGACAATGTTAACCTTGAATGAGCAAGTACGACCTTGACCCTGAAGGTACAGATCTGTGTTTGTTGCGCATGACACATCTCTTATTATAACAAACATTTGGCAAAGTTATTTCAAATTCCTTTGATAAATGACAAAGGTTATGGACCGGACACGAAATATATCCTGTAACAGACTATGTTAATATTTGACCTCAAGTGTGACCTTGACATGAAGGTAGGTGACTGGTTTTTGCGCATGACACATCGTCTGATTATTGTGAACAATTATGGCAAGTATTTACAAAAAAAAAAAAAAAAAAAAAAAAAAAAAAAAAAAAAAATAAAAAAAGAAAAAAAAAGAAAAAAAAAAAAAAAATCCCTTTATAGAATAAAAAGTTATGGACCGGACACGACATATACCTCAAATAGGCAATGTTTGACCTTGAATGAGCAAGTGCGACCTTGACCCTGGGAGGTAGGGGATCTGGTTGTTGCGCATGACACATCGTCTTATTATAATAAACATTTGTGCCAAGTTATTTCAAATTCCTTTCATAAATGACAAAGTAATGGACCGGACACGAAAGTGTGACGGACGGACGGACAGACGGACGGACGGACGGACAGACGGACGGACAGACGGACGGAGCCTATTTCTATATCCCCCTTTTTTCTTCGAAAAGGCGGGGGACAACTAGAAGTGTGTCCATAGGACAAGGGTGCCCCCACACGCCACTGTTCTGTTAATCTTATGTCTCTAGGTCAAATATTTTTTGGACTACATGTGCCACAAGTTGAAAACTAAAAGTCTTTTACTAAGTAAAGGGCAAGAACTTTACAAATACTGAATAAATCCACAAGCAAACCCCAAGGTGCATAGGTACACATGCTGACCAACATTCTTGTAAACATTCATGCCTACAAGTCAAATACTTTTTGAGCTATGAATGAACAAGTTGAAAATTGCAAACATATACTTCTGTAAGTCAAGGGCAATAACTCTAACAAAACTGAAAAAAATCCACATGCAAAGTCCCAGGTGCATAGCTTCACAGTGATATTGATTATTATTCCTGTAATTTAGTGATGTTAATCATTATTCCTGTAAAGTTGGTTGATTCTAACTCAAACACTGAAGGAACAAATAACACAACATTGATTTTTTTAAAATTCATCAGTGTAGGTCATAGGACTCGCTGGGCTATAAATTTATGAGTCCCAAATTTAACCAATAGGTCAAAGTTACAAGACTTCTTGTGATATGAAAGGTATGTAAAACAAGAGGGCCATGATGGCCCTGAGGTCGCTCACCTGTATATAGGCCCCCCCCCACCCCCGGGCCAATTTTTACCCAAGGGCTTTTATTTGTTTATTTGAACAGACTTGGTAGACACCCATAAGAACATTTTTCATGCTAAACATCTAAGTTCTAACTCATTGGGTTTTTTAAAAGAAGATTTTTAAAGTTTTTACTATACACATATAGTTAAAAACAATGACACCCCTGGGACAGGGCCAGTTTTGACCCCTGGGCTTTTATTTGAACAAACTTTGTAGATATTTACTTAAAGATGTTTCATGCTCAATATCTAAACTCTAGCTATTTGGGTTTTTCAAAGAAGATTTTTAAGTTTTTGCTATACAGATATAAGGAAAATCAATGACCCCCCCGGGCGGGGCCAGTTTTGACCCCAGGGCTTTTATTTGAACATACTTGGTAGAGACCCATTAGAACATGTTTCATGCTAAATATCTTAGCTCTAGCTCTTTGAGTTCTTTATAAAAAGTTTTTTAAGTTTTTACTATATGCATATAGGGAAAATCAAAGACCCCCCGAGGGGCCAATTTTGACCCCAGGGCTTTTATTTGAACAAACTTGGTAGACACTCATTAGAACATGTTTCATGCTAAATATCTTAGTTCTAGCTCTTTGGGTTCTTTAAAAGAAGATTTTTTAAGTTTTTACTATATGCATATAGGGAAAATCTATGACCCCCTGGGGCGGGGTCAATTTTGACCCCAGGGCTTTTATTTGAACAAACTTGGTAGACATTCACTAGAAGACATTTCATGCCAGATATCTAAGCTCTAGCTTTTATGGTTCTTTAATAGAAGATTTTTTAAGTTTTTACTATATGCATATAAGGAAAATCAATGACCCCCCAGGGAGGGGCCAATTTTGACCCCAGGGCTTTAATTTGAACAAACTTGGTAGACACTCACTAGAAGATGTTTCATGCTTAATATCTTAGCTCTAGCTCTTTGGGTTCTTTAAAAGAAGATTTTTAAGTTTTTACTATATGCATATAGGGAAAATCAATGACCCCCTGGGGCGAGGCCAATTTTGACCCCAGGGCTTTTATTTGAACAAACTTGGTAGACATTCACTAGAAGATGTTTCATGCCAAATATCTAAGCTCTAGCTCTTACGGTTCTTTAAAAGAAGATTTTTTAAGTTTTTACTATATGCATATAGGGAAAATCAATGACCCCCTGGGGCGGGGCCAATTTTGACCCCAGGGCTTTTATTTGAACAAACTTGGTAGACACTCACTAGAAGATGTTTCATGCCAAATATCTTAGCTCTAGCTCTTTGGGTTCTTTAAAAGAAGATTTTTTAAGTTTTTACTATATACATATAGGGAAAATCAATGACCCCCTGGGGCGGGGCCAATTTTGACCCCAGGGCTTTTATTTGAACAAACTTGGTAGACACTCACTAGAAGATGTTTCATGCCATATATCTAAGCTCTAGCTCTTAGGGTTGTTTAAAAGAAGGTATTTAAAGATTTTTCTTTCGGTTGCCATGGCAACCAGAGTTCTGCATGGAATTAAATTCTTTGAACAATTTTCAAAGGTGACCACCAAAGGAACATTCCTGTGAAGTTTGGATAAAATTGGCTAAGTGGTTTATGAGGAGATGTCATTTAAAGCAAAAGTTTACGGACGGACGCCGGACGGACGCCGGACGAAAAGCGATCACAAAAGCTCACCCTGTCACTTTGTGACAGGTGAGCTAAAAAATAACAATTGACTGGAGAAACAAGAGCTGTCACAGAAAGTGACAAATGCTCCCGAAGGATTCTCGTTATAAACCACCTATCAGAGTGGACAAGACCAACCCCATCTATATCTATACAACATGTTTGAACCTAAACAGTGATCTTGACCTTAGTTGTAGAAACATGAGTCTGGTTCGAGGCACACCATATATCTATGGTTCTTTAATATGTGAAAGAAAAATTGAAATCCTTACATGCATACTGAAGTTTCAGAGCGGAATTAGGACCACCACCTTCTATATTTATATAACATAAACAAGAGCGATCAGTAATCACATGTGTCTCCTCATGATGGCCAATTTCATGTTTGGGACAAATTTTGTGACTGATGGACAGACAGTGCACAACTAGACTTGGTACTGATCATTCCTGTAAAGTTTGGATAAAATTGCACCAGTAGTTTATGAGCAGTAGTCCGGACAAGCTTTTGCGTATCTGGCAACACACAGAAAAAAACACCTTTTTATCAAAGGGCCATAACTCGGCCAAAAATCATTCAACCGGAAAACCCGTGCAATATGCGCAAGGACTTGAGCTACAGATCAATCCTGTAAAGTTTCATTGAAATTGCATTAGTGGTATAAGAGAAGTAGTCTGGACAAACTTTAAAATTAAAAATTATTAAAGGGCCATAACTCTGACAAAAATCATTGAACCGGAAAATGCTGACAATATGCACAACTAGACTTGGTACTGATCATTCCTGTAAAGTTTGGATGAAATTGCACCAGTAGTTTATGAGGAGTAGTCTGGACAAGTTTTGTGACAGACGGACGGACAGACAGACAGACGGACAGACAGACGACGGAGAAGTGATCCCTATAGGTCGCCACTACTCCGTAGAGGCGACACAAAAATGTCAAAGTTTGAACCCCCACAGTGACCTTGACCTTAGTTGTAGAAACCAGAGTGTTGTTCACGACACTATACATCTATGGTTAATTCATATGTGAAAGAAAAATTACAATCCTTCTATGAATACTGAAGTTTCTGAGCAGACACGACCACTACCATTTATATCTATATAACATAAAAAATGACAAAGTTTGAACCTCCACAGTGACCTTGACCTTAGTGGTAGAAACCCGAATCTTGTTCGTGACACACCATACATCTATGGTTATATCATATATGAAAGAAAAAAAAAATAAAATTCTTTCATGCATACTGAAGTTCAGGGCACACACGACCACCACTGTCTATATGAATAAAGCGGGACGGACTGACAGTTCAATTTTAATATGCCACCTTTTGGGGGCATAAAAAATAAATTTGATTTCTACATAATTACAATGCTTCTGATACTGAAATTATCCAAAATTGTCAACGTAAGTTTATTTCCATTATTTTAGTTTGGTATTAATCAAAACTTCATTTTCCTTAATATTTTTATGCTTTTCTATAGTACAGCACATTATTCTTTCTTAACCCAAACCAAAAGGAAAGCTTGCGGCAAGCTTGCTGCAAGCTTACATTGGCTATTTATGCTTGCTGTAAGCTTGCTGCAAGCTTGAACTTAAGAAAAATCCAACTGCCCTTTCAGGTTAACCTCAGATGGACACACAGGTCAATTACTATATGCTGTGGGCAAAAAAATTTTTTTGAACAGTCTTTACAAAAACTGGTCATTTAAAAAATGATGTTTAAATTAACTTATCAGATTTTTCAAATATAAACCTTTTAAATGACCCATGAAATAATGCATAGTATATCATAATATAGTAAAGCATGGTCAAACTACACAGATTTGCAAATTGCAGGCTGGCCTGGCTGTATTCTGGTAGCAAAGGCTTCTGGTTTCAGCAGATTAAGGATTAAAAAGATAACTTAAGAAAGTTTTTATCAACCTGTTTTACATTCAAGATTTTAAAAAATACCTGATTTTTATATGTCTGAACGAGTTCTATGAAACGATCGCCTTTCTGGATTCTTGCAAACGGACAAGCAGTGAACCATCTACAGTGTTCGATCCATGGATCATCCTCCGGTTCCCAGTGTTGTAGTCCACCATCACAGGCAAAACAACGCACACCGTCTCCATGACCTTTAACAGAAAACAAGAGGGCCATGATGGCCCTGAAATTTTTCACCTGTATATAGGCCCCCAGGGTGGGGCCAATTTCAACTCAAGGGCTTTTATTTGAACAAACTTGGTAGACACCCATTAGAAGATGTTTCATGATAAATAGCTTTAGCTCATTGGTTTTTTTTTTTTAAAGATTTTTAAGGTTTTACTATACACATATAGGGACAAACAATGACCCCCCCTGGGCGGGGCCAATTTTGACCCTAGGGCTTTTATTTGAACAAACTTTATACAAACTCTAGCTCTTTGGATTTTTTTAAAAGAAGTTTTTTTTAAGTTTTAACTATACACATAAAAGGAAAATCAATGACCCCCAGGGTGAGACCAATTTTAACACCAGGACAGGGTCCTCATTTAAACAAACTTGGTAGACACCCATTAGACGATGTTTCATGCTAAATATCTTAGTTCTAGCTCTTTGTTTTTTTTAAAGAAGATTTTACTATATACATAATGGGAAAAACAATGACCCCCTTGGGCAGGCCAATTTTGACCCCAGGGCTTTTATTTCAACAAACTTGGCAGACATCCTGTAGAAGAAGTTTTATACTTAATGTCTAAGCTCTAGCTATTTGGATTTTTTTTAAAAGATGTTTTAAAGTTTTTACTATATACAAATAACAGAAATTAATGACCCATCGGGACGGGGCCAATCTTGACCCAAGGGCTTTTATTCGGAAAAACTTGGTAGACACTGACTAGATGATGTTTCATGCCAAATATTTAAGGTCTGGCTCTTTTGGTTTTCTAAAAGAAAATTTTTTAAGTTTTTTTATTTCGGTTGCCATGGCAACCAGAGTATGCATGAAATTAAATTCTTTGAACAAATTGTTTAAAGTTGACTACCAAAGGAACATTCCTGTGAAGTTTGGATGAAATTGGCTTAGTGGTTTATGAGGAGATGTTTTTTAAAGTAAAAATTTACTGCGGGACGATGTATATATTTTTATACAATGTTCAAGGCACTGAAATTATTCAGTCTTAACCTTTTGTAAATTGCATATTTGTGTACATACATTTCCACAAAAGTATGAGTGCTGAAACTAAAAATTCAAAATTTTTTCAATTAACATTTAAGAAAGATAAGTTTGACCAAATTCAAACTTGAACTGCTTATTCCTAAGATGTATCTATATGTTAAATTTCAGTTGAATGTGTACAACCAATGGGGAGATTATGAACAGAAACTTTAAATTTCTGATTCTTTTTCAAAGTTCAAGAGGGATAACTCTGTTAGCTATCATCAAACCATGACCAAATTCGAAATTGAGCAATGCATTCTTATGACATATCCATATCTTTAATTTGAGTTGAATATGTTGGGGCGATAATGACTGGGAACTGAAAATTTCCATGAAGTTGAATTTGAAAGTTAAAGGGGCATAACTCTGCCAAAAATCATCGAACCATGACAACATTCAAACTTGCCCTGCGCATTTCTTTGAAGTATCCATGTTGAATGTGTAATACCCTAGACGAGATAATGAACGGAAACTGAAAATTTCATATTATTTTCAAAGTGAAAGGGACATAACTCTGTCAAAAATCATCGAACCATGACCAAATTGCAACTTGACCTGCACATTCCTTTGACATATCCATCTGTCAAATTTGAGTTAATTATGTAACACTGTTGGGGAGATACTGAAAATTTCATATTATTTTCAAAGTGAAAGGGCCATTAGTCTGCAAAAAAAATCATTGAACCATGACCAAATTGGAACTTGACCTGCGCATTCAATTGCCATATCCATATGTCAAATTTGAGTTGAATGTGTAATACTGTTGGGTAGATAATGAACGGAAACTGAAAATTTCATATTATTTTCAAAGTGAAAGTTCCCACAGTATAATGAGACCACAAGTCAATGCTGTATGCCAAATTTCAAGAGGCTGTGATAAGTTGTTGCTGAGAAAACTGTTACGAAAATTTCCTACAATTGACCATTAATGTCGAAAATTTAACTAAGTCGATAAACAGGAAATGGATGAGCGACAGACCTGAAATCAAATCTCACGGTATGGGATCACATGTCAATCCTGTATGCCAAATATCAAGAGAGTGTGATAAGTAGTTGCTGAGAAAACTGTTACGAAAATTTCCTACAATTGACCATTAATGTCTAAAATTTATAAACATGAATTGGATAAGCGACAGACATGAAATTGCTTTCCACGGTATGGGACCATGTGTCAACTCTGTAAGCCAAATATCAAGAAGCTCTGTATGCCAACTATCAAGAGGCTGTCATGTGTAGTTGCTGTGAAAACTGTTTGAAAATTTACTACAGTTAACTATTAATGTCGGAAATTTAGCTAAGTTGATAAACAGGTAGTGTAAAAGCGACAGACCTGAAATTGATTCCCACGATATGAGACCATGTGTCAATGCTGTATGCCAAATATCAAGAGGCTGTGATGTGTAGTTGCTGAGAAAACTGTTACGAAAATTTCCTACCATTGACCATTAATGTCGAAAATTTAACTAAGTCGATAAACAGGAATTGAATGAGCGATAGACCTGAAATCAAATCCCACAGTATGGGACCACGTTTTAATGCTGTTTGCCAAATATCAAGAGGCTGTGATGTGTAGTTGCTGAGAAAACTGTCACGAAAATTTCCTACCATTGACCATTAATGTTGAAAATTTAACTAAGTCGATAAACAGGAAGTGGATAAGCAACAATCCTGAAATCAAATCCCATTGTATGGGACCATATGTCAATGATGTATGCCAAATATCAAGAGGCTGTGATGAGTACAGTAAAAACCCGCTTTACGACCACCCCGTTTTCTAGACCAACCCGCTAATACGAACGATTTTTCAAAGACCCGATTTTTTTTATTCTTTATTTTAATGGTCGCTAACCCCGATTTTGAGACCACCCCGTTATTCCGTAATACGACCAGTATTTCAGTCCCATTTCGTAAATTCTGTACATTTGGAAACCCATAAATACGACCGCGGGCACTTCTCACCTTGATATTGACATGCAGGTATATTGCTGAAATCTTTTTGACACGTGATGTAAACAACAGTTGTCCTAGTTTTACGACATTTAACGACATCCAATTTACGGCAGAGGTCAAGGTTACTTTGTATCAAACCCGGAAATGATCAATAATATTGTCGATAATTTCTTAATTTCACACCTTTAATGTCATAACTGGAGGATTAAAACAACAAAATATTGAACAGAAAACTTTTTAGAGGTGTTGCTGCTATAATTATCTCTTTCGTTCCATCATTTTAAACAAACATAAACATGATACGATTAGGTTTTTGAAGTTGTTATCGGCAATGAAAACTGTGAAAATAATTAAAGGTAAATTGGTCGATGTGATTTGTAGTAAAATGGTGATTTAATTGAGTAAGTCATGTCATTCTTTTAACAAGAATGTAAAAATATGTTTGTGGTGAAAGACATTCATAATACATTTTGTACCTCTAAAGAAGTTTAAAAATTTTATAATGTTAAAAAGTAAAAGAAAATAAATGAAAATAAAAAAAATAATAGTGTATGCTTAATATCTTCTCATTTGAAATAGGTTAGCCCAGAAATAAACATGTGTACAGTACATGGTATCCCTTAATATATTGTGAATTGCGACAAAACTCATTAATGAGACCAACCGCTATTAAGACCAGATTTGTAAAGTCCCTTCATTGGTCTCATTAGCGAGTTTTTACTGTAGTTGCTGAGAAAACTGTTACGAAAAGTTTTTCCCCGCCTGCCCGCCACCCGACATTCACCATACTATAACCCGGGTTTGCAATGAAACATGGAATTTAAAAATCTATAATGTTAATCTTTGACCTCTAAGTGTGACCTTGTCCATGGAGGTAGGGGTGCAGGTGATGTGCATGACATATCGTCTTGTTAATATTACTATTTGTGCCAAGTATTTTCAAAATCCCTTAAACTATGAAGAAGTTATAGATCGGACACAAAATATACCCTAAAACAGACTATGTTAATTTTTGACCTTTAAGTTTGACCTTGGAGGTAGGGACCCATGTTTTGCCCCTGACATATCGTCTTGTTATTGTTATTATTTGTGCATTGTATTTTTAAAATCCCTTGATCTATGAAAAAGTTATGGACTGGACACAAAATATACCCTATAACAGACTATGTAAATCTTTGACCTCTAAGTGTGACCTTGACCTTGGATTTAGGGGCACAGGTGTTACACATGACATATCATCTTATCATTGTGACATTTTGTGCCAAGTATTTTCAAAATCCCTTGACCTATAAAGAAGTTATGGACAGGACACAAAATATACCATATAACAGACCATGTAAACCTTTGACCTCTAAGTTAGACCTTGACCTTGGAGGTAGGGGTGAAGGTGTTGTACTTAACATATCCTTTTATTATTTTGACTATTTGTGCCAAGTTATTTCAAAATCCCTTGAACTATGAAAAAGTTCTAGATCAACATAATATATACCCAATAACAGACTATGTTAATTTTTGACCTCTAAGTATGACCTTGACCTTGGAGGTAGGGATGCAGGTGTTGCGCATGACACATCATCTTATTATAGTGACTATTTGTGCCAAGTATTTTCAAAATCCTTTGATATATGAAAAAGTTATGGACCGGACACAAAATGTACCTAAGATATCTAAGTTCTAGCTCTTTCCATTTTTTACAAGAATTTTTTTTAAGTTTTCACTATATACATGAAAGGAAAATCAATGACCCCCGGGGCGGGCCAATTTTGACCCTAGGGCTTTTATTTGAACAAACTCGGTAGACATTCATTAGAAGATGTTTCATGCCAAATATCTAAGTTCTAGCTCTTTCAGTTTTTTCACTATATACAATATGGTATGGGACCACGTGTCAATGCCGTATGCCAAATATCAAGAGGCTGTGATGTGTAGTTGCTGAGAAAACTGTCACAAAAATTTCCTATCATTGACCATTAATGTTGAACATTT